ATCCATCCGCGGTAGCATCTAATAAAGTCTTGTGAACAGATTGGAGCCCATTTTTAAAGATGTGCACTTGTGTTAATTCATCGAGACTGTGACCTTTGCATTTTTGTAACATGGATTTGAACCTCTCCCAAGCTTCATTGAGAGATTCATTTCCTCCTTGAGCAAACACTGAAATTGTCTTTTTTTCTTCCATGAATTGATTGTATGGAAAAAATCGCTTAAGGAACTTTTCTTCCAACATATTCCAGTCCATCATCATCAAAGTGGATTGATCAAGATACCATTCCTTTGCCTTCTCGATTAAGGAATGCATAAATAATCTCTTGAACAATGATTCTTTTTCAGCTTCCGGCGCTCCCGTTGCACTCGCAATCTTATAGAATTTGGTGAGATGTGTGAACGGATCCTCATTATCCATATCAGAAAAAGGATTTTGGTATAGAAGCGCAAGAATTCCCATTTTAATCTCTGAATGCCTCCCGTTGTGGGCATTGTGTGCAAACTGAGCATTGTGCCTTGGACTATTGGTACAAGTGTTGAAGCAGGATGTTAGTGTAGAAGTAGAACTTTCTTCTCTTTCTCGTCTTTTCTTGGCAAGTATCCTCCTCCACCTAGTTTTGCTATTCAACTTACGCGTAGTTCTCTCAATCTCAGGATCAAAAAGAAGTTGATCTGCAGGTATTTTTCCTTGCATAAATAGAGTCTCCAAAACTTAACCAAACAAATTAAGAAGAAAAATAAAAAGGAACTGAGATAAACAAAGTTTAAAACTTATCAACTATTGCAATGCTTGCAATATCAAACAACAATCCCCGACAATAGCGCAATTTTGTTGAAATAGTATTAGTGTGGATTTTTGTTATTTTAAACATAGAATAGAAAAGATGTTTGTTTTGGTTTTGTAACGTAACAATCGCATAACAATTTAGAAGCAACGGTAGAAGAGTTTCGGTTTTAAAACGATTGATAAAAATATGTGAAGATTAGGGCTCGATAATCTGTTTCGTACGTATTTTCTTAATAAAGCATGTGAACTTATTAACAATAAAGATAATCACATATCCTCTCAAGATATTTCATCTCTAAAAAAATTGTGAGTTTTATCATATTAATCTTTAGATGATCTCTCAATCTAGTTTTTAATATGATAACATTAAAGGTTTGATATTAGTGAATACCAACTCACAAAACTATCTCTAAACTATGTTTGTTGAAAGATGAAAAAGCTAGGTTAATAGTTGAAACATATCTCTCAATAATGATCCAACACAAATATACCATAAAAACAAGATATTAAGACAAATACATACATAAGTGAGGATTATATACCTCTAATTTTGACACAAGGAGAGATTTATCTACCCATAACCATGGTAGCTTGAGCAACAAGTAACAAACAAAGCTTTTGGAGCATCAAATTTGAAAGGATCAAAGATTAAACTTAAAAGCTTTAATTTCTAAGTGAAAATGAAGAAGATGACCTTTTCTGTCCATACAAATGTTTCTAGGTCACAAAAGATTCTATGAAAAGTAAGTTATCTTCCAAAAAGTATCAACAAGTGCTAAAATACACATGTTCTACCCATGAAAATTTATCGGGCGAGTTATATGCCTCGCTGGGCGAAACCCTTAAGTCAAGCCACGTGACAACAATAGTGCCAGTGGACTGAAGAAAATATCTTCATTCGCCAGGCTAAATAAAGCTTCGTTAGGCAAATCCCTTTTACTCCTCATTCGCCTGGCAAATCTGCCAGCGAACCAATTCCAATAGCTACTGGAATTTCAATTTTCTTTCGCTTCTTGCCTTGTCTGGCCTTCGCAGGGCGAATATGGTTCTTCGCTTTTCCGTCGCCATGCAAAGGTGCTTTTTCTTCGATACACAATTTTTTTTGATTCTTTACTTTTTCTTCCGACTTTTGCTGCACCCTTTTGCCAAAATATGCTAAAAAACTAACAAATATATTAAAACTACAAAATATATACATTAATGTAAGAATCACTTAATAAATAAGTTGTTTCGCAATCAGAAGCATGAAAAAGAGCTTAAAGGTGCCGCAAGTGGATACGAAAACTATTCTATACTTCACACCTATCACTATCATCCTCATAAAAACAAATGTGAGATGGAAAATTGAAATTGTTCCAAATTTGCACGACCTTAGGGAAATCTTTGAGACTATGTAAGATGGTTTCATTACCTGCACCACATCTATAACAAGATGCATTTGTTGACATATGATAAGTGACCCGTATATACTTGGTAGGTAACTTCCCATGCATGATGATCCAAATAAAGTGATGAATATTTTCAAGTAACTTGAAGTTCCAAATCTAAAACTAAGTCATTTTCTGAATATGAGGTGGGTTGAATACTAAAATTAACCAAAAATAAATTGATTTAGTAGAATTAGTACTTAATATTAAAAATTCTAAATAAGAATATTATTTGAGTTGTCATTAGTAAAAAACACTATTTATCTCCATTTTTATATCCAGAGGACAAGGTAGTGGTAGGTGTTGAAGTTGATATTTATGTTGTTGGAGTTTGTTTGAAGTTCCACGTTGGTTAGGTTTTCGGGCTGTTGAATGTATAAATATGTGAGGGAAACCTCACCCTTTGAGCTAACTTTTGGGGTTGAGATCCAGATATATTTAACATTATATCAGAGTCGAGTAAGATCTGCAATGTACATTTGACCCAGGCTCATACTAGGCGTGAATGTGGGTGTCGAAGTTGGTATTTATGTTGTTGGAGTTTGTTTGAAGTCTCACATTGCTTAGGTTTCCGGACTATTGAATATATAAATATGTGAGGACAACCTCACCCTTCAATCTAAGTTTTGGGGTTAAAATCCAAGATATTTAACAATAGAAATATAAATTCTAAGTGTTGATAGCAAACATTCGTACATTCACAATAATCATTGAAAAACATCGGACTGGGCATATTTAGAAGTCAAATTTTAGTTTTTTTAAAAATAAACTAAATTGTTATCTTAATGGTCTCATCTTAGTCCAACAATGCACACGGTAAATAATTGAATGCAACTTTAGTATTAATTAGTGGGATATATGTGTGTTCGCACGGATACTGATGTGTTACGCGCACTTGTTTTTAAAATATAATTAGAATATAAAACAAAAAATAAAATTGTTTTACCAAAATAGCTTATTATTTTTAAAAGAAAGAAATATTTTGATTTATATATGGATGATAAATATAAATTTTTTCATATATAAAAATATTAAAATGAACAATATATTTTCTTGTACGTAATATTATTTTTGTTTTGATATTATTTATAAAAATATTTGGATAAAAATAAAATTTGTCATTAATTATATATATTAGTGAAATGATTACATCAACAATATATAGCTCATTTTTCCATATATTATCTTTAAAAATATTATATCTTAAATTAAAAATAATATATATATATATATATATATATATATATATATATATATATATATATATATATATATATATATATATATATATATATATAGAGAGAGAGAGAGAGAGAGAGAGAGAGAGAGAGATATGAGAATGTGAAAATGAATAAAAATTATCAGATTTAAAAAAAGAAATGTTAGATGTTAAAAAATCAAACACACGAGTTGAAGAAAATGAGGAGACGTGGCAACATATGAGGCAGAAGGGCAAATGGATCATTTTAAAAACATATTTTCTTATATGCTATAGTGTAAGAAATCTACATTTGAATCTCATTTTAATTAGTTTGGGGTAGAGGTGAAAAGAAAGAATAAAATAATTATTTTAAAAGTATTGATTTGATTTTGATATTTGAGATATTATATTTTACGTTAAAATTGATTTTGCGGAAGATACCTGTCTTGTCGTGTATTAGGACTAGAGCTGTCAAATCTGTCAAACCCAAAAAATCATAGGACTTGAGCATTAAATTAAAGCCCATATTTTCCAGGACTTTTTAGCGCAGCCCTAAAAAGCCCGCTACCCATTAGAGTTAGCCCATATGGACCGTGGGTAGCCCATTAGATCCACATAGCTATAAAATTTTTTTAAAAATATATTAATACTTATATTGTTTTACTCCAAAATAACACATTAATTTTTTCACCTCACTAAAGTTTATCTCTATCCTATTCAATCTTTCTTTTTGATTCTTGTACATTAATATAATCAACACTCTTTTTTCGTATTCTATTAGTTTCTCTTATGTTAAATATTTGAGTATTATCTTATACAATTTAGACATGTGGTGTATTTAAAAACAAATTATAGTATTTATAAAAGATAATATAATACTTACTTTATAGGACCAGACAGCTCGATGTCCATCTAAGGCCGGACTTGGGTCGTAATTTTCGAGTCCATATTATAACATAATTTTTTTAGTCCAACCCTAAAACATCTGAGGCCCGCCAGGACCGACTCCTTTAAAATTGGGTAGCCCATTTTGACAGCTCCGATTTAGACATTAAAGATATTAGTATTAAGATATATAATAGTTGACTTAAATGAGTATAAATTATTAATTTAGACTTTAATATTTTATATAAATATTTTTTTAATATTTATAAATTTATAATTAAAAAACAATAATAATTGTTTGATAAATATTTAAACTTTTTATTTTAAATTATAAAATAAACTACAACTTGTATTTTTTGAACCGTTCAATCTTTATCAAATATTCATTGATAATCTGAATGAAACTTTTTTAAAATGATGTATAATCTAATTTTATTTTGCATTTATCATTACTTTTGTTCTGACATTGCATTTATATTACATTTGAATCTACTCGTCCATAAATATATTCAAACATAAATAATTTTAAATTTAATTCCCTTTTAATCAAAATTTATTTATTTAAAATAAAAAAATTTCACCTCAAAACCAAACAATCTCCAATCTTTTTTTTACATATGCAAAAGAAGGGAGTCAACAATTATTTGAACTTTCCTTAACTACATGATCAAAATGGAAGATATTTTCAACTCAATTGTCCTCATTGAGCAACAGATTTTTTCTCAAAAAGACTAAGTCTATTATAAGCCAACCTTGACTTATAAGCAGCATTTTTGTATTCCCTCCATGTGAATTCTTTGTACAAACTCTGTTCTTTCTTTGACATCAATATTGAAGGCAAAGGTGCCAACTTTTCATTCAAGGGTGGTCCTCCAAAGTAAATCATCGACAATCTTGACATGTTTGTGTCAGTCAATACCCTATGCTTTACACTCTTTAATCCTCCATTTGTCATCACCTGTGATTTGAAAAACATATAGAAACACCAAAATCAAAAAATAGTACTAACAAGTAACAAATGTTTTTAGTAGAATATTGCCATAGAGAAATATCGACACGTCTTTCTCTTTACCACAGAATGTTGAGATAGCCAGATAAGGGAAGAAAAACAACAAAATTAATTGCTGGCAGATTGTGAGAAACAATATTCACTTTTTCAAGATACAAACAATAATTCTATTCATCCAATAATAGCAAATATCACACTTTTAAATGTTTATTATGACAAATATTTTATAAAATTGTACTCAACTATAATTTAGTTGTGTCAAAATTTAGACTATGTATTTTATAAAATACCTGCAAGGAATCACCAACTGTTATGAAAAAAGAAGTATGATCAGGTGGGATTGAAACCCAAGAAACTCCATCTCTCAAACAAATTTGAAATCCTGATGTGTTGTTAGACCTTAGAACAGATATGATCTGTGGGTCTGTATGTTCTCCAAACCCAATCAAATTTCCTCCACTCAATGCTTCAACTTCTCCACATGCCGTGTAGTGATTCACTCTCAAACAAGAATCACTTCTCTCATCTCTCACCAATCTGCTAAACACATTCCTCTCTTCAATCCCCAATCCATCCGCCATTAATTCCAACACTTCACAGCATACACCCTTCACCGCCAATATGTATTCTTCCACAGCACACCTTCAATATCAAAATAATTTTATCACAATTTCTTCTATAATATGCTCTGTTTTTCTATATTTTCAAAAGTATCGCGATTCGCGAATTACATATGCAACTTATAAACAGGGGTGTGTGAATATAAATAAATATTTATGTTATATATAAGTCAGATACATCGATTATTTAATAAAAATCAGAGACTATGTTTACCTGAACTTGTTTGGGTTATGGTGTAAAAGGTGAAGAGATTTGGGAGAGATGACATCAGGATTAGTATTGAGAAGAAGGTATTCAACCCAACCAATATCACCATTTGTGCCAATGCTTTTGCTTCCATATCCAAAAGGGTCTGGAGGACCTGCTTTCTGTTTCTCTAACTGAGTTTGTTTGAAAAACTTGAGTGTCTCGTTTTCTAAATTTGTCATCAATTGTAACGGGACAGGGTGGTTGACAACCTTAAAGAATCCGAACTCTATACATGCGTTGACTATTAGTGTTTTAGCATCAGGGTGTGAAAGGTCAACCTCTGGAACACCTTTGAATACAGTTGGTGTTGTTGGTTTGCATGTGTTTATGGGAAATAAGTCGTTTAATGTGGCTTGTTGGGAAGAAAGAACCACCATCGTTGTACTCTGTTTCTTGTTGTTATTACTATCACAAAAAGGAATACAAGAAGAGTTAGAGCACACACGAGAGAGAGAGAGAGAGAGATTAAAAGAGAGAGTTGGGATTTATAGTGCTGGAAGGTTGAGAGAATAAGGAAGCGTTATGAACTAAAAAAGCTATCTGGCTCTGAGTGTCACTGGGGCATTTATACTATCGACTCACATATTTAAATACGAGAATTGTGTTTTTTATATATAATATGTAGTTTATAATTTTGTATTTCTATTTCTTTGTATAAAGTCTCTTTGGTTTCATTTGAGTTTAAGGAGCTGGTGTATATATTTATTTAAGATTTTGAATGATTTAATTCTGATTTCAATTTCAATATATTAAGATCTGTGCGAGATAAAGGTTGTAAATTAGTTTATTTGTTCTTATTAAATTTTAAATATATTAAAAACTTGTTTGGACAAAATTTATTTTTATGATGCATTATTGGAAACTAATATTTAACTAATAATAAATAATAGATTGCTATGTTTTCTTTTATGCCGAAAGCATAGATAAAATTGATTGGTCAAGGAACATCAAATTTCATTTGTTTGTCTTTGTATTTCAATAATCTTTGTACTCAATTTTGGTCTAACCGATATCGTTTAGTTATGATTGAATCAATTAGATTAATTAATTTTATTTCACGGATTCAAATCCATTTGTTGCATAGGATATGACAAAAATATAATAAGATATAAAGTATGATAAAAATAGAATATAAACAAGATAAGACTTGTCATATCATGTATGTTTCGTTCAGAAACATATATAATAAATATATATATATATATATATATATATATATATATATATATATATATATATATATATATATATATATATATATATATATATATATATATATATATATATATATATATATGTGTGTGTGTATGTGTGTGTCGGAATCAACTTATTTTAAGAGTAAGTTTTTTTTATCTTACTTTATATTAAAGCTTTTAAATTAAATCTAATTTAATAGTTAAATTAATATTTATACTTATAACCATTTGATAAATCAAATTTAAAAATTATGGTTATGAAATAAGTTATAAAAACTTATTCTTCGAATAAGTGAGTCCTTAATATATATATATATATATATATATATATATATATATATATATATATATATATATATATATATATATATATATATATATATATATATATATATATATATATATATATATATATATATATATATAAATTTATTGAAAAAATAAGATTTTTTAGGTTACTCTAAATCACAAGCTTTAAATTAAATATAATTTAATGCTTAATTAATAAAAGTACTAATTAATCATTAGATTAGATTTAATTTAAAGGGTATGATTTGTAGTAAGTTAAAAAGCGTACTTCTTGCCGTCAATTGATCCATAATATTTTTTTAGATTATTCTAAATCACAACCTTTAAATTAAATCTAATTTAATGGTTAATTAAATTAAAATATTAATTAATCATTAAATTAGACAATTTAAAGAATATGATTTGTAGTAAGTTAAAAAAAACATATTTCTTGCCGTCAATTGATCCGTATATATATATATATATATATATATATATATATATATATATATATATATATATATATATATATATATATATATATATATATATATATATATATATATATATATATATATATATATATATATATATATATATCAATTTATTGAAAGAGGAAGATTTTTTAGGTTACACTAAATCACAATCTTTAAATTAAATCTAATTTAATGATTAATTAAATAAAAATATTAATTAATCATTAGATTAGATTCAATTTAAAGGATATGATTTTTAGTAAGTTAAAAAAACGTACTTCTTACATTCAATTGATCCCTAATATATATATATATATATATATATATATATATATATATATATATATATATATATATATATATATATATATATATATATATATATATATATATATATATATATATATATATATATATATATATATATATATATATATATATATAATGAGGATCAATTTACTCTAAGAGTTAAATTAACCTTTTAATTAATTGACAATTAGATTATATTCAATTCAAAAGTTATGATTTAGAGTAAGTTAAAAAAAATACTCTTTCAATAAGTTGATCCCCCAAACACACACACACACATATGGTTTGCTAACGTAAATTCACTTGTTTTTATAAAGTTGTCTTTTTGCAACATACACCTTATGATGTATTTAACTCTTTTTTAGTTAAAACTTGCAAACAGACATCTTCATAAAAATAAGTTAGTGTATTATAGCAAATTCGTGTAGGATTTGCTATAATACAGTCACTTCTTTTTATGAAGGTGCGATTTAGCAACAACTTGCACCTTAAGATGCATTTAAGCATTTTTAAGTTAAAGCTTACTAAAATAGAACTTCATAAAAATAAGTGGGTCTATGTTATCAAATCCATATATATATATATATATATATATATATATATATATATATATATATATATATATATATATATATATATATATATATATATATATATATATATATATATATATATATATATATATATATATTTATATATATATGACAAATTAACCTTTATAAAATAACTATATTTTTTTTCAAATTATTTTATAAAGTGTTTTAAAATTTATAAATTTATAAAAAAAAACTAATAATTTTATATAATTTTAAAAAAAAATTCATTGAAACTAATGAGTAGACAATTTCAATTTTTCTTCAAAGAGATTATGAATTCTTTTATATATGTTAGATAAAGAAAATAAAAGTATGTATATATAATATGTAAACGACAAAACTATTCTTGTAATAAAATTTATTTAATTTGATAAAAAAAGAAAATTAGTATTTATATTTTTAAAATTATACTAACTATTTTATTTTTATTACTTCCAATTTATAAATTTGTAATTTTTTTATATTATATAAAGTTACAAAATCATTCCTATGACAAAATCATACATATTTTTTTTAAAATTATTTATTAATATTTTTTAATTTAATATCAAATTAATCTTTATTTATATTTTATAATATTTAATTTTTTATTTAAAATTTATTTTATAGAGATAAATTTATAAATTATTTTTTATTATATTCTACCCGATTTTAACACAGTTCATATTCATGAATAAAATTTGAGTTTGTATGATAAGATAGAATAAATTTTAGAATTAACTTATCATATTCTATTATATCATCAAAAATTAAATTAAAATAAAATATGATATTAATATCTTATTCTGTCTCTTATCCTGCATATCAAACAAATCCTTAAAAATTATTAACATTATATGACTTAGCGGATAAATTTGAAATACTTAATATTCTAAAAAGATTTTAGAATTATCATAGATATAGTATCTTACAATGATAATGATAGAAGGTTGATGGAATAAAACCTTCTATGAATAAGATGTTTTAGTCAAAATTTATGATATAAGATAGTTGATAATGACTCTCTTAACTTTAAGTTGATAATTTATATAGTTAAGATCGTCTTGAATTTTTTAAATCTTATGTATGTTAGTTACTATTTAATTTAACAAAATAAATATAAATTCGATTTAATTATAAAAAACAATTTATATAAAAAAAATTATAAAATTTTATTTAATCATGATTTAGACATTATATTATAGGCTAATCTGCACACCCCAAAAGTAGGCCATGTAAATATATAGTTGGGGTGTAGATAGAACGAGACATACATTGACATGGGTGATGGTGTAATTTATTAATAAATTAAATCATGTGTTGATCTCAACTATGGAGTACACACTAACAAAGGTGTTTGTTGATCTCAACTATGGAGCACACACTAACAAAGGTTCATCAAATTCACTAAACTGCATTAGCTAAATTATAACAATTAAAATATATATGCTTATTTTTTCACTTTAATTGTGGTGTTGGAGAAAGCAATGTGTGAATAGAAAGCACTATATTGGGAATGGTCCTAGGACGTGTATTTCTATAGAGAAAGTTTGTTTTGATGTGATGAAGTTGAAGCACACTATGTATGAAAATATGAATTCTCATCACTTTTCTAAATATTTGTGGCGACACGTTTATTTTTGGGTGATGTTGAGGTGAGGTAGGATAGTATCTATTGCATATATTTGGTCTATAAGTATTGCATACAAAAGGAAAATGCGGTCAATCCAACAAGATACCTACGAGACTTGGTAATTTATTATTCCTCTGTTTCTTTTCCTTATAGATGGATTTTTATTTTTAATCTTGATATCGAATTGTTTGAGATAGGTCAAGCACGTTAACTCCGGATAACTACCATCAAAGGTACTATTTTTTCTAGAATTTTTTGATATGCAAAAATTATCATTTTAATGATTATAAGAGATCTCAATTATAACTGTATTTAGCGCATCTTTACAAATCACGGCTAACAAATAACTAGCATGTTATTTTTTAATTTATAACATAGGATTGATGTAACAAATTTCAAATTCAATACTCATTTCACTCTTCTTTATATGCTGACTTGAGCGTTGAAGTGCTAACCTTGCAGCTCTCCTCACTTCATCACATATGGAAGTCACCATATCCATCACAACCATTCAAGATTATTAATTTTTCAACTACATTCATTTATAGTTCTCGAATGGAACAGCGACGCCATCTATGTGAACCGTTTTATGATTCCTACAATTTTGAAGAATTCACATTCTCTCAAAAACTTCACACTTCGCAACCTTCTCATATCAACGAAGCGAAAGATTTTCGATCAAGCTTAAGGATCCAACACATCTTGATTCGTCTAAGCATAATTTCAATTGTCTTTCATCAGATATCTAGATCCTCAGTTCTTACAATTTTCGGCGATGACATGATCTAAGGCTATTAGATTTGTCACGGCTCACAAAGTTGTTGTCGTTATTCTAGCAGCAAGTAAGTCACCACCTCTTCCTCCGTCGCGAAACATCGTAGGTCTTGAAACAATTATTCC